TGATTTGGGTCCCATCCTTTTTATATGATGCGTTCTGGGCAAGAATGGCTTCAACACAACGGAGTGAAGGACTCAATGCTGTCTTTGATGGTTATGCTAATGGACAAACTAGCCTAAACAATTTTGTGGAGTAGTATGCAATTGCACAAAGGAGAAAAGTGGAAAAGAAGGCAGTAGCAGATTTCTATTCATATCAGGCAATTGTTTAGTGTGTAACCAATTTGGGGTACAAGAAGCAATACCAAACTGCGTACACAAACTCAAAATTCATTAAAATACAAGTTGAGCTTCAAGGAATATTGGGAATTTTTTTGGCCCATGTTGCTAAGGAGGATGGATTGATTGTTTTTCAATGCAACAATGGAACGAAAAAGCCATAAAAGGTGTGCTTTAGAGGAGGGGAAAATCAAGTGAGATGCAGTGGTAGGGCTTTTGAGTGCAGAGGAATACTGTGTTGTCCTGCATTTGTTGTCTTACTAAAAGAAAGAGTCAAAAAAATTAACAAAGAATACATAATGGATCGATGGCACAAAGATATAAGACAAATGTATAATTATGAGAGGTATTACTTGGTGGCTTACGTTAAAAGGCCTGAAATGCAGAGGTACGAGGAGTTGCGTCTTATATTGTTGTAGGTAACAAAAATGGCATCTGAGGTGCCAAAGATGAGTGCTTATGTCAAGGATCATGCAAACAACATGGTAACATACCTAAATTCATGGAAGAAATAAAAGGACAAGGAAATGGATAATTGTGATTTAATGAAGGGGTTAAAATCGAAGCGAGGAAGGAAATGTGTAGAAAATGTGAGAAATGCAAAAGGAGCTAAATGTAATAAAGGACGGATTCAAAAAAAACTGGCCATATTGAATCCAATGTGAACAAATAGAGGCGTGGGCCACGTGGGAATAGAATGAAGACATTCGTGGAGAAGGTTTTAAGCCGTTACAAGAGAAAGAAAGTAATAGAAGAAAGCCAGTCAGAAGAGGCATTGAAGAAGTTAGGAAGAAGGTATGCTTTTGGGAACCTAATTTCATTTTTGCTAATCTAGAAAATATAGTAACTCAACAGAAATCCTTATACAACTTGTGGGTTAATATAAGTTTATAGAACAACATTAGTGATATAACATAAATTTGAGTAGTTGGTATCACAATAAATTTAATAATTTGGCCCCATAACTTTAAATTTAACAAAGAAATATATTCTCAAACTTGAACAAGTTCTAAAACAAAGCTAAAACTTGAAATTTTTTGGTTCAATTGAGGAGATTATGTGGTGAAATTCTCTGTTAAAAATATGTAACTAATAGTAATCCCAAGATGACAAACAAGTGCTAGGAGCAGTAAAATGCAATTATATTTTTCAATGAAGTTTTCGTTGATGTGGCAAATTTTACAAAGATGTGGTAATATGGCTTTATTTATATGGAGAAGCAATTAATGAAGATTACACTTTTTATTAGATTAATGAAATGATAAAATCAATCAATTAGTTAAAAAATTGAACAAAAAATATTGAATTATAAAATTATTGTCTTGTTACCCATTCTATTTCCCATTCCCTTCCCATCCCTTTCCTCTGCCACTAGACACAAATAGAATCAAACCCAGTGTGAAGTAATGACAAATATTTAATGTATGCAAGGAACCAAAAGATCTTTAACTTTTTTACCTCTGTATAAAACCCATAAACAAATTCTAGATGAATACGGTGAATTTAACAAAACATAATAAGTTCATGGAATTTAACAATTGGATCGAATTCAATGAGTTAAAATCCCTACAAAACCCATAAAATTCAGACTAATTTTCACAGAAAATTGAAAAGCACATTTATTGCAACTAAATAATAGAAATTCCAGCCTTACAATTTCAACCTTCAATACTAAAAGCAAAACTTACAACAGTTCATGAACTTATTAGGACTAGAAACACTGGCATTTTTGGTGCAAAAATAATTATCAATACATTCAATATAATATGTGAAATCTATTTTGCATACAATGCAACATGAATCAAAAATAAAAACTCACTTATAGTAAATGACATGTTTAACTTGGGTTTAAGTAAACTTGTTTCAATGGCAACAACACAATCGGCATATTGAGGAGATCAAATTTGCATCCATCCATGAAGTTCTGAAGAATAGCAGTTTACGTGGGAGAGAAAAGCCATTGTCGTAGCAAAATAGAGATCAAAATGTGTTATCCAGACAAACATGATCAACAAGTACTAGAATCTA